CACCTCAAACATCACATGAGAAAGTCAAGTCACAAGAAAAGATGAAGCTGTGCAGCATGTATTTTTCAGTAATATTCAGTTTTTACCCTAACTTGATTTGCCATTTCTAAACAACAAACAAATACAGGGGTTACACAGAAGCAAGAGGCAATCTTCACTAGAAGATGTTGGTTTCTAGTCCATTTTTCAGATACAAAATTCATTGGTCAAAGAAACAATGAAGTAGCATGGTATCACAGCCTCATCTGCTACATCAGCAGGTTACATGAGGTCTCTGGATCCAGAGACTTGGAAAATTTAAGATGACCAGCGGGAGTTCTTTCAAGAGGAAGCAGAGGAGATGCTCTTTGAAAACAACAGCAAGAAACAAACTCACATTTTATTGCTATCTCTGTTCAGAGAGAGGAGGCAAGATTGTTCAGAGGGGATGCACTAGAACAGCACCAGAGTTTTTGCTGCAAAGGCATGGGTGGCAATAGGGCAGGCCACGCTGACATCCTGTAACACGGCAGACAGAGACCTGGAGTATCTCCTCCACTTCACTCTGATGCATCTGCCACCTCCATGCCCTGGGAAGGCCAAGACAACTTCAGCAATTAAAAATTCATAAAAACACAGCACTGATATTTAACCAGGTCAGTCATACCCCTGACACCACGACACAAGACTGAGGCCTTTCAGCCAAAACCAGTAATTGGCTGTATGATCTGTGTGGGTGGGAACACATCAGTGCAGCAGGGATGAGCACAAAACCCTTCCTTTCTTCATCTGAATTCTGGTGCACAGAAGCTTCAGCTGCCTGCCTACACCTGGAGACTCGCAATTCCGCCTGCCATCCAGAACCCACTGCCTTTCAATCCTTCCTGGCACACCAGCAATCTTTTTGCCATTTGGTCCTTATGCTCAATGGCCAAAATGTACTTTAAATACAGTAAATTTAAATTAAGTTTCATGCCTTGAAATTAAACATAAAAAAAGCTGCAGGACAAACAATTGGCCTGTTCCGTGATACATTGGTTTTCCCAAATTAAACCACTGGCAGTACTTATAGATAATGACAGGTCAAATGCATGTTACTTCACAATGGAAAATCAGTTGCTAGAACAGGAGATGGAAAGCACTTACCTCTGGTGACACAAGTTCATCCAGCAGGTCAAGTTTACGCTGAGACAGCAGCTTTGAAACAAGAGAAAAGGCCTACCAAAAAAAAAGTATATACATGAACAAGTAACACTAGGTTGGCTTATTTTTCAGACTAATCCATCATTATGTGACAAGGTACCCAAATATTCCATGATTTAAGATTTCAGTATCTGCAGAGGGTATCACCATTGAAATGTAAGCCCTCCAGCATTAAAAAAGTGATTTAATGAACAGATAAAATTGTAAGGTTTCTTTCCAATCTCTCGTTTAAAGCATCAAATCTTTTCATATTAGGTAACAGAATGCATAGCTTACTAAAACAAAAAAAGCATTGCAGTACTCTGTATCGGTATTTAGTCTTTTTGATAATTCAAACAGTCTGTGTCTTTCCCTGTAAATATTTTGTTCCCCTGCCCTCTTTTTCAACTCTTCTTCTGGTTTCAGTCAAAACTGAAGCTTCAATTTAGAAATTTTCTTTAGAAATCTGGTTTAGTGTCTGAACTTCAGGAAGCAAACCCCCCTTTTCCCCCTCAATTTTGCAGGTATATTCACATACAATAATGTCTGTACATATTCAATTAGTGGTCTTGCAAAGGACGCTGTGTTTAGGACTCTACAGCAAGTAAAAACAAACCAAACCAGGACAAGATAAAACAGGGGGTTCTGCACACATGGCCAATAATTTGGTACAGGTTGTGACGTTTTTTTCTCTCTTGAATTGATATTAATCATTTTAACATTATGTGTTGTTTTGAGCTTTTTTTTTTGTTCAAAGTAAATATAAAAACTGGAAGTTTCACAGCAGATAACTGTCATTTTTACATGATGAGCTTTGAGATCATTACCTCTTTGACACATTCTGTTGACAAAGCTTACTTGGTTCAAAATTTGGAGAAACAAGCATATACACCAGCTTTGTGTCTCCCTAAGCTTTATCATTTCAGGAAAACCTGCTGATATACATTTCCCCTTAAAGTCTCTATAATGTTTGGAAGCATCTTCCTTCATGCTATTTTGGGGAATTGCTAAATCAGCTCATTTTAATTGTGGAATCTGGGAAAAGAAAACAAGAAATTCCTAAAGAAAAGCACATCTTAGCTTATATCACTCCCCCTCCCCAAATGTGGTGCTTGGAGCCAGCAGTGGGGAACTCCATCTATTTTACATTTTGGAGCACACAGGTACTACAATATCCACACAGGACATCAGGTTGGACATCAGGAGAAATTTCTTCACAGAAAGGGTTGTTAAACATTGAAATGGGCTGCCCAGGGAGGTGGTGGAGTCACCATCCCTGGGGGTGTTCAGGGAAAGACTGGATGTGGCAGTTGGTGCCATGGCCTAGTTGACAAGGTTGTGATCAGTCACAGGTTGGATTCAATGTACAAGAGAGACATGGAGCTCCTGGAGTGGGTCCAACACTGAGGATGGACTCGAGGATCTCTTACAAGGAAAGGCTGATGGAATCAGGCCGGTTCAGCCTCATGAAGAGATGACCAAGAGGGGACCTCATTAATGTGCATAAATATCTAAAGGGGGGTGCCAAGAGGATGGCTCCAGGCTCTTCTTGGTGGTGCCAAGAAATAGGACAAGAGGCAACAGGCAGAAATTGATGCCCAGAAGTTCCACCAGAACATGAGGAAGAACTTCTTTACTGTACAGGTGACTGAGCACTGGGACAGGCTGCCAGGAGAGGTTGTGGAGTCTCCCTCACTGGGGATATTCAAGGACCGTCTGGACGCAATCCTGAGCAAGGTGCTCTGGGATGACCCTGCAAGAGGAGGGAGGTTGGACGAGATGATCCACTTTGGTCCCTTCCACCCTGACCCATTCTGTGATGATCTCAGAGCTCTTTTCCAACCTAAGGGATTCTGTGATTCCACGAAACAAAACGCGGGCACCGCCAGGCCCCGGGGAGGCTCAGCGGGTCCTTTCCCCCCAGGCCGGCCGCTCTGCCCTCCCGGGGCCCCGCTCACCTGCTTGGCCCCCCGCGTGAACTCCTCGACGCTGAATTCCTGATCGAAGTAGAGGCGGATGAGCAGGTAGTAGAAGCGGGTGCGGAGCCAGGCGATGGGGCTGGTGATCCT